TGTGGAATACACAACAGTACAAATACGCGATGATTTATGTGTTATAGTGCCAAAAGCAAAAGTAGCTTCAATTTTTTGGAATCTATTTCGCTCGTTTAAGCTGAAGGTATGGATTTCTATATTATTATCTATACTTATAGCGTATTTGTTTTGCATAATATTTTATGGACGTTTGTGTTGGAAGGAACACATACTTTTACAACTTTTGGCCAGTACATTATCCATGCCAATGACTCGAGTACCAGCAAAAATATCACTACGTTTTATACTCTTTTTATGGCTTTTTTATGGACTACTTATAACGGGAGCCTTCAAAGGCAATTTAACCAGTAATTTAGTCTTTCGTACATATCTACCAGATGTAAATACTATTAAAGATTTGGCACTATCGCAATATGATTTAATATTGTACAGGCGACATCACAAGCATATACATATATTTTTAAATGAAAGTAATCCTTACGAAGCAATGATCAAACGAAAATTAAGAGTTCAAACGGATTATGAGATTACTACACTTCTTGAGTCCAATAATCGTTCATATGCCTACTTGCAAAAGTACCATGTGGCACTATTTCAAATAGTTGCACGCAAGCACACAAGCAAGGGACGACCACTTTTCCACTTGATGAATACCTGCTTGGTACCCTTTCATGCAGTCTACATACTACCATATGGTTCCCCATACATAGGTTTCGTCAACAACTTAGTGCGCGGTGCACATGAATTTGGTTTCGTGGTACGTTGGGAAAATTTAATGAATTCAGCTTTCCTCAAATCTGGTAGGAGTGTATTTCGTAGAAAACAAAGCGATGATGATCTTGTAGTGCTTAAAGTGGCACATTTCCAAGCTGCTTTTTGTTTGTTATCTATTGGACTTATTTTGGCATTTTTTGTATTTATAGGAGAGCTTTTATGGAGATGACGCTTACGGGCTATAAAACGGAAAATTATTAGTAGGTTTAAAGCACTTTAATTTATTTAACTACAACGCTATTTTATGCAAGTAAAATCCGTTAAATGCCATGCAAATATATAATATCAGCACTTACCAATTTCTTTTCTTCTAAAGATTTATTTGCTTCCTTAAGTGTTATAATCTCATTTGTCAGTCTCTGTACTTCATAATTGGCCAAGCTTCCTGTTGCTGAGCCTAGTAAATTTTCTGCATTCGCTGCATCTATATTCTTTTTAATATTAATTGGTGCCAGTGTTGTAGACTTTTTAGAAACGTCTAAGGCATTCTGTAATTTTTTCACTTCATTTTTCCACTTGCGAGTTTCTGATTCGTTTTGGGCTCTGCAGAAAGAATAGTATTAGTTTCAATAGTAAAATGTTATATGTTAAAAATATTTAACTGGGATAGGGCTCACTTTTATGTAGAAAATAGGCTTTAAAACTTTTTTGAAAACTAAATCATAGAACTTACCTCAATACCCGTACCGCTCCACGTTCTGTAGTCAAACTGGACTTCAATTCATTGATTTCCAAACGTAACTGTTCGGTAAGTGCATTCAACTTCTGTATAGTTTGTACATTTTCCTGTAATTTTCTTTTAAGCCGCGGTGGTGGTGTTGTAACGGTTGTTCCTCCTGCATTAACATTCTGTGTAGTTTTGGTTACATTTAATGTTGGAGGCAGTGGTGGTTTAGTTGTAAGTTTCTCAGTACTTTTTGGCATTGCGTCAATGCAATTATGTGTAGGCGTTTCAGGCGCAGAAAGGACCTGATTTATCTGTAGTTTACCACGGCAATTAAGTTGTATTCCTTCAATACGTGTGCGTTTCTCTTGGTTAACTGTGTCTGTCACAGATGTTAGTGAAGCAGATAGTTTCTTTTTACGTTTCAGTTTGTTTTTTGATGAACAAACTTCTTGCC